AAAGCTTTCGCCGAACTTTCATACACGCCTTATCGCGTCAATATCTTAACCCTTTTCTGTACGAACTAGTTTGGCAAAACGCGGGCCAAAGTAAAGAATGAAGCGAGACGAGCCAAAACATCTTTTTTTCCTTCATATTTTCTTCATGGTGCCTGTAATCGGCACCATGAGTCTGACTCGTTCTTATACCGAAAAGGAGTTAACAATTTATTTTTATTTTTTTAAATTTATATGTAAAAATATTTTTTTAAGTAATAAAACTGTTGAAGCAAAAATCTTAAAATATTTTTAAAAAAACCACCATTAAGTATTCAAACCAAAACTTTCTCAAAAACACAAACGTTATATAGGAAAAAATGAGAAAGAATAAAACTATTATATAAAACATAATAATTCTGACTAGTCTTATTATCGAACATATGTTCACCAAATGAACCGGTTTTTTCCTTTCCTCGTAAAAGTTAATGACACACTGTTACTCGCCTAATTGTTTCATCGAACATTGCATTTGTGTATATCATCGCGGTTCCGGAAAAAAAAAAAAAAAAAAAAAAAAGTAACAACACATGTTCGCGCGGACGTCTTTACAAGCGGGAAACGCTTTCATAGAATTTACAATTGCCTGACGACACTGGCACCATTAAAGACAGCCATTAAGTGCACAGGCGTGTTACGGACCGTATAGGAATCGTCTAACATGCATCTAAACCCCGACTATGCATACGCTGAAGCGACGGATTGCGTAACATTCAAGGTGAAACTCCCCTACCATAAACGAGACAATCACGTTTTACTGCTGCTGCTGCTGTTGCTGCAGCTGACCACCCATTGGCGGTGCCGGTGGTCAATTAGTATCGCTGTTAATTCAATCTCTGCCTCGCCTACGGTAGATCCGGTCGGTTGACGGATTGATGGAGGCACTCATCTGAAGCGTTCTGTACCGAGTGCATCAAAATATACATTTCCTCCCGACTATTACATGCTGACGTAAAGATCGATTTAATCTCAACAAATATTTTACAAGTACTTTTCTATCTCGTTTGTTTCTTCCAATATCATATGAATTATTATGAAAGTGAAATTCAACACTTATTAAGTATGTACGTATTAACGTCTGGCAAAACTTTGTAGAGTAACATTGACGCAAAGCATTTGTTGAAGAAACAATGATGTTTTCTTGCGCTTTAGAAAACTACGGTAAAAAGCAACAATTAGAACATGCGCCTAAAGTTGCATAAAAAAGATCAATTTCTCAAAAAAAGCCGAGCGAATGAGAAAGAAAGCGTTCAAGATTATAATTAGAAAAATAACACGCAGAGACTTTCATTCAGCAAATCTCGCGAGGCACGAATCACCGGCCATTTGAGGAGCACAAAAAGATCCTTATTCGATAGCGCGCGCGAGTGAAAATTCGATTTGCATAGAAAGGATGACGTTAGAAAAGCGCGCATCGAATCCGCGCGCAGAGGTTTCTTTGCTGCGAGTCATTAACCGGAGATCTGTATATGTGCCGGACTTAATCGCCGCCAAATGATTATGCGTCTATAACGCGCGAAAAGGCGAATTATTTTTCCGGCGGATGCGGTCAATTAGAAAATGCCCGCTCGCACTTTCTCCCGAGTTCCTGCGACGCCTTCGGCGTGCTGTTCTGTGTTGAAAAAAAATCTTGTGGGTCATGGCCCACATGATCAGCCATCGCGACATAACTTTAACCTTCCCGCGAGGAATACTCGCTCGAAACAAATCGCACAAACGCGAAAACGTTATTTGTTTAACGGTTTTGCGTCACTTTTGTCTACTCTACATATTTGTTTTTTTTTTTTTAAATAAAAAGATAGGGAGAGAAGGCATGTTTTTTAGATTTGCTGTTGGAAAATTAAAACTTTTCTCAAGTTTTGTACTGAATAAAAACACGTTCGAGATCTTAATTTTGCTCGGCCAATTAATATTACAATATCTTATGTTCGTTAAAAAAAATTTCTTGCGTTTTGACACGCAACATTCTCTCGTACTTTTCGCTCTACATCTGCGCGTAAATATTAACCGCGGCGCGCGAGTACAATGCCCAAGTAACAAGAAAAGAAACGTCTGATATATTCCTATATGTATATATCAAACATGAAATATGCTATTGTATGCGTCACATGCGCAGGATGTTTCGATGGAAAATTCTCCGCTTCCGGACAATTATTCGCCGTGTCAGATGAGTGATAGAAAAGCGCACGTGTAGATCGATTCAAGCGGCAGTGAGAGAGAAGTGGCTGTTTTTTTGTTCTGAAACATATACTTTTCTCTTCTTTCAAGAAAACGTCTGCGTATTTGTCTTTGTGTGTCATGTAAGTGCAAATCACGATCTTCTCACTTCATTGTGATACATTTTTACGTAACAATATACGTGTAATTAACAAAATGAATTTAAAACCGCTTTATACAACTGATACGACTTGATTTAGATGTAAATGCAATTTCAAAATTTAATTTTTAATTGTAATATTGTAAATTTCATTTATATAATTGTAATTGTGTCTTGTTCTCGTAAATACATAACATTGCAAATAAACATAAGTGACATTGACAATTTTGAGAAAAATACGTTTAGAGCAATTAAAATCGAGGAACTAGGAAGTGTGTGGATAGGTGCATTTACAAAAATTCTTTTGTTCGAGACACGTTCTCGATATCTCCCTTTTATCAGGTTTTTTGTTTCTCTAAATCGACGGGAAGATAAGACGCGCGATAGAATTTTTGGAAAAAAGTCACGGCGTTCTTCGCGCTCTATCGTTTCGGACGTGACTCGTCAGCCGCTTCGTTTCTATATTGATTAGTGATCAACCTCTCGACCTCGCAGATTTTTTCGTAATGAGGTTTTCCAAGATAACTTGCGGACATTTAACGGTGCCTGGTGGCGCTAATATTTTTTTTCTTTTTTTTGAGTGCTTTAATCGCAAAACTGAAAGACGAACCGATAACCTTTGTTCGGAATTCTCGTTGTTACACTGTGCTGTTTTCAGAAACGGCGCGTCGTTTCAAAGTCAAATTAATACGCGACAAGATTATATAGCGAGGAATTGCAATCTCAATTCAAAACTACATTGTATATTCTTTGGCAATCTGATGAATAAAATAAGTAAAACAAGAGACTTGCTCGTCAGTTGCATCCATCTTTGTACAAACGCGTGATTACATATATCGCCGCGATATGCATACGCGACTGTATTTTTGAATATACACTAAATGAACAAAAATAAATGTGCGCGCATTGAACGAAAGATATGTTAAAATCAACGGAATAAAACTCATTTGCGGGGTAACGGACAAGTTAAAGGTCACATCATTACGAACCGTTTGATATCGTCATTATTGTCTCGGACGATAACGATTTCTTTTCGTGCGCAAACGCAAATGTGTTTCAACACACTCGATATATTTTGACGCGCAAGTCGCGACCGACTATTATTTTTGACACACGCTGTAGCGTATCGCCGAGGTACCTTCCTCTCGAGGTGCCCCTCTCGAGGGCAACATACGCCGGACGAGACAACCTTGCAAAAAGCGATACTGTTATTTCCGAGATTTCCGCGAGAAGATTCTCGGTAGCTCGTTATTAGCTATTTAATGCATTCGAGAACAAACGAGGGTGAGATGCGCGCGTTAGTCGTTATCTTTTATACGGGCGAGTCTGCTGTTTAACGTCTCCGCGGTTGATTAATTGTCGCTGGATTTACTGTCGACTCTGCAGGTCGTTATCAGAAGTTGGGCGGTTACGCGCGCAATTATGATAAATTTATATCGTCGCACAAATCGGTCCACTTTATAGAGTGAATGAAATTAATGGCACGGATAACGCGCGCGGGAAAGAAGCGTTACAAAGCGTGCGTGTCAAAGTCACTTTGTGCAGATATTAATCCGTCGCATCTGTCAATAAAGTATTTGACGCGCGAATGTCTCAAGACATGCACGCGCACACACTCACTTTATTCTTGAAGCGCATTTGAAAATAACGCACTCAAAAAGTTTGAGACCAAGATCGAACTCGGGAGAGAGGTGAGATGGAACTCTCGACCGACACGCAAGAAAGTAATCAGACGAAAACGTTGCGGCGATCCACTCGTCTCGGGAAAAGTAGAGCGCTCATCCGTAATTCGAAGATTTCACTGAAAAGCCTCTCCCTCTGCGCGCGGGTGAAGTTATATGATTTCATTTCTCCGCGAGATCTCTCGCTCGGCGACGTAAGAAAGTGATCATTCTATTCGCGTCTGACAATGAGAGCCGATTGAGTTTTCACTCGCGCGCAGAGAACGGACTTTAAGGTAAAGCCATTTCGTTTCGCGTTCCAATCAAAGATTTTTCCGGTCGCGATTTTGCAAGTGCAACGAGCAATTAAACGCTAATTAGTGAATCTTATTGCTTTAAAGAAATTAACCTAGCTACGTCCGTTATCTCGAGATCGCGGAGACGAAGGGATATCATACCTAGATGTGTCCATGTACGATATGGCTTTCGGATCGGCGCGTGCGATGGAAACGACGCGTCCGCAATTAAGACTAATCGAAAAGATTTCGCACGTGCGAATGACGTGCATCCGACTATCTCGCGTCGTGTCGCGAACAAGCCGGATGTCGATAACTCCAGTCGGCGTAATGACGGTGTGTTGTTGAAAACAATAAACTTTCAACGACTATTTTCACGGATTCGCGTGTACAATCGATCAATATCTATTTAGATTACATAAAAAGAATACGACGCTTGTAATAATGCGACATACGTATTGTCATCAGTGTATATATCAATATACGTATGTTTAATTTATGTTTCATTTCAATAAAGTATGCAGCTTTTAAGAAAACTAACAAAATTTTACAAGTAATCAAACTTAAATTCCTATCACACATTTTTATTGTCTAAAAACCACTCAATATGTATTGATTTTCTATTAAATAAATACTCAAGTGGCTAAAATGTAAAAAAAAAAGGAATTATTTTCTTTTCAAATCACTCACCTATTAGTTTTGCTACTTTTTGCAAACGCGAGTCACTGATTATTTACATTCACGTCGTGCAGGATACATTCCCAAATTACGCACGCTTTCGATACGATCGAACAAGTAGAAGCGACTCCGTAGGTGTGGAACGTAATCGACATAACCCGACCGACAGCTCGCAGCGGACTGAAACGCGCGTGTTGCGCGCTGCTGAACGAACGCAAGAGACGAACCGGACGATCTCCTCTCCGCGTCCGACTCGGCGGTCGTGGGAGTAGAATCGCTCATTTCTAGGTAGATTATTCGGTGAAACGACGACGGACGACTACGCTACATCAGGGTGGTGGTACCAGCCACGGTCGTGTTCTCGTCCCGTCCTCATCATCATTTACCTTATCCCACAACCGCTCGGTTATGTGTCTTAAAAAGAACGAATTGTACCAGCATTGACTCGTGTGGTTTGTTGAAATAAAAAAAGCGTTCTCGCGCCACAATCTCCCACACCGAGAATGACATCTTTGACTTCAATGAGAGTAATGAGAACGATACGACGATGGAAAAAAACGACAACTGCGTATATAACGCCAAAAAGGAAAAGAGAGAGCAGAAAACGCAACGAGCTGTAGAAAACCGTATTGTTGGAGTATTTAGAAACCTAAAAAAAAAAAAGAAAAGAAAAAGAGAAAAACAAGTCGCGCGCGCGGCCAAAGCTGTCGCGCCGGGTCTTTGCAGAATGGAAGTAGCGAGTCGCGATCGTTGATGGTAGATGATCCAATAGAATGAGAAGGGATAGGATGGCGGTACCAGCCACGGTCGAGACTGCTGAGCTTGTCCGTCCTCCATCGCGAGCTGCAGCAGGTTGTTAGAGATACGAAGTAGAGACGCTGCGTGGAACAAAGAGGAAGCGTGCGTATCTTACAACGAAAGAGATCCATCGTCCCTTCGCGCTAAATAGATAAGAGGATAACCGACGCCGCGATAGAAAGAGAGAGAGAGAGAGAGAGAAATTGTCTCGAAACAATCGGACGGTTTCATTTTCTATTCATAGTCTCGCCAACAAATATTCGTCCAGCGAAGTCGTGGACTGAAACCATCGTCGGCGTCGTCGATCTCGATCAATTCAATTCTGCGCTTGCAGATATGAAAGAATGAACCTTTGCGCCTTATGCCAATTGAATATAAACATAGAATCGATTTTCTCTCTCTCTCTCTCTCTCTCTCATTTCCGAGAAAGGAGATTGGAAACCGTGAACACAGATCAGTGTATGTCTTCTCTTCTGCCACAAAAACAGAATGATATTGTTATTAGCACTGCGGTCGATTTGCTAAACGCCACGGAATATATGTTTGACGGGATTTCCGTGTATCAGTCCGTATGTGGCGCAACGAAACGCGATAATTTCAAACAAAACATCGAGTTATGGTGTTTGTGTTAAATCGGCGACGCTATATTAAACACAAACAGGTTTTACCGTGTGATTCAGCATCTAAGCAGAAAACCGGTTTTTTTTCCGTATTCGTTGTGTTTCTGCCGCTCATCACATCTCGTTCATTATACAATCAAACGCTGAAATGTTGCACAATTTTTGTTTTGATTTCTCCTTTCTCTGTGGATCTCGAAGAAGAGAATTCAATTTCTGGCTCGTCTCGCGCACAAAGTCTTTCAATTTCTCACGATCTCCTCAGATCACACCAATTTTCACATGTCTCGTCGATCTTTTTGGAACTTTCTCGGGTTCCGGTTTCACCGTCACCTCGGACAATACTCAATTGCTATTAGAAGAAGCGGTCTCGGACGGTAGCCGCGCGCGAAAGTAGGGAAAGTATCTCTCTTACGTTGCGATTTGCTCGCATGTCCGACATACATACCGTGGAATAAAAAGAACCGAGTATTATCGTGTTGCTTGTATACGTACACAGAGGTGTATACGTGTGCGCTCGCAATCCGTCACACAATTGTTCGCAAACAACGGGAAACATATCGCGCTTCCTCGAGAATCATATATCTGAAAAAGTGTGTGCGCGCGGACGTTATCACGAATTGGCCGTAAATCGATCTTCGATTCGGAATCGTGATATCTTCTTCGCATATATTTCCGCAAATATATGGCTATTTTTCACGCTCGGAGATCGCTCGACATTGTACGCGCTACGCGCGATTGGCACGGTAGTAACGGGACAGCGATTTTATATGTGCGTTTTACAAATGCGCGCATATTCCGTTGTGTGTGTGCGCGCGCGCACCGTTCACTTTACATAATAACGGCTGGAGTACTTATCATAAAAATGAATACGCGCCGCTGTCATGCTCTCTATTACATGAGAAATAATTGCCAGTAATTCGAGTGGAATTCCGTGATTGATCGATGCGAATCTCATTGTCGCGACATGTCCTCGGCTAATCGAGCGTATATGTGGACTCAATTTTTTGTGTCTGGAAAACATATACGTACGCCCACTTGATAAAAAGTGCCGAGAGCGGAAAAAAAACATGTGACTCTGAAATTCGTCGTAATAGGAAACACGAGAAGCGCAGATTGCGTATCGCCACTGTCGCTTGTCCGCTCGCGCGTATTGCTGTCGTTTTTATCTCTGTGACTTCTTTTCCCCGATTTACACTTTCATTTTTCGTAATGACGTTCGCGCAAAACGCCGCGGATCGCGCGGTACAGGCGTGAAATCGCAATCTCCAGCCGCGTAATCGCCGCGAATGCACCTACCGTGTAAACGCAATCCTCTCGTGAAGAATAAATCGGAGAATACATTCCTATTAGTAAAATTCTCCAGAGAGCAGATATGCGAGAGAGAAAGAGAATACACAATGTGTAATTATAAATTAGATTAATAGAAAAGAGTCGACTTAGTCAAATTATTCGTGTTGCACATAATTGAAAAAAAATCGTTCCTCGGTTGTACTAACATGGTGTAATAAACTGTTACGATATAAACGATAATATGATGTTACGTAACGTAAGATCGCGGTAAGATAATAGCACGACGTGATCGACGAAATTACGCATACGGACGATTTTTCTTATTCATTCAAATATACTAATAGCAATTTGCAAGAATAATTAACGAGAGAACAGGATCTTTATAAAAGTCCTTCGTTCTCATAAAATCTGTTCGCTGTATACACTTCTCGAGGAAATTCCTAGACAATTAAACATTTTAATAACTCAAACTAAAAACTGTTTGAAAGATTTAAAGCGAAAATTGTTTTGCATTGCTGAAAACTAACGTCGATAATGATTACGGAAGTGGCGAGCAGAAAGAAGACGATGGAATGAAATTGATGGATTCGAGGCGTATAATTTCCGCGTCGACAATGCACGAAGGTTATCGAGGAAAGAGAAAAAGAGAGATAGAGAGAAGTGAGCGCTTCTCCCTGATAAGTTTTCCGACTCCGATCCTCACTATTAGTGTTCAACCTTGAAAATCGTTCTGATAAGTCAGTTTTCCTATTCTAGTTTCATTTGACATTAACTGTCTAGTAAGATAGTTTTTTTTTGTGTTTTAATAAATAGCATTGTCAAACCAATGTTTCCTAATCAAATTTTAAGCAACAGTTAATTTAAATTAAACAGAAAAAATAAACACGCTGAGTTTTTGCCCAGAAAAACCTGATAAATTCTGGTCAATATTTTCTAGTCAAAAAGTGATTAGAAACTAGTCAGGAAAACTGGCCAGTTACTGGTTTCTAATTCCAAGTTTTTAATTTCTACTAAGGTAGAGATGAAAAACTTACATATAGACGTATAACGCTTCGCTATCGGAGCGAATCAAAAACTCGACCGCGAAGTATCTGGATTCAAGTGAGTACAGCGACAGGAGTATATAAAATTATCGTGGAATGCAGTTCACGTGCATGCGGACAAGCCTCGCAAGGCGACGCCGCGTATGTGCGTACAACACGCATCCTCCATGTTGGAAGACGTCTGCAAGCACAAATCCAATCCTGTTTTGATATATAAAATACTTGCAAAGATCTCGATTACACACACGCAAAATGTATCAATTAACTATTTCCTACTCGATATTTTCATCACCTTGTATTTTAAGTTATTTCCCGCCCATAATGTAATGCACATTTTTAATTACTGGTGGCGTCTGTATTTCTATATTAGTTGTAATTAGGCTATCAAAGCCGTTATCAATTTGAGACAATTTGTTAGTCCCATTAGTTCTTAGAAGTGCACATCTTTGTACTTTCGCGTTTACTTTTATAGTAACAATCTTAAAATATATTCTGTACGATTAAATTCTATATTCTATTAAATTTTATATTCTATACGATTAAAATATAAAACATTACGATTGTCAATCTTTGTATCAAGTAGCGTTATAAACATTTTTGTAAGGCCTATATATAGTATACAAAATGCGCTTGTGTCTGTCACTTAACATTGATATCAAATTTCCATAGAATTCGCGAAACATAAAATAAGCCGCCGTGACACAACTGCTCGACTTAACATTCAGAGAGAGAGAGAGAGAGAGAGACGCGGTCGTTCCACCACTAAATTAATTCATAAGTAATACGCGCAGAGCGAGTTAATAATTCACCAATTGCTTTATCGATCAAAATCTATTGTTCGGCGCGTGAGACGAGACCGCAACCATAAATCACACCTTGTTCTAATCGGGTGATTCGCGAACCATCAGTTTTCAATTATTTAAATTGTAACTCAAGGTTGCAACGTTATTGTAACGAACTTGAAATTATACATATATATCTTCGATTTTAAAAATATAAAATTCCGTAAAACCTTTATTTTCCTCCAAAACGTTTCCTCACGCGTTAGATAATAGAATATGACCTACGTCACATGATTTCAAGAAACCGGATGGTTCCTTCGACCGTGGTCTTGACTGTCCGACGAGCTTTCCACCCGCGTTTTTATACGGCTAGCTTTGTCGTTTCATTTTCCTACGACGAAGGAAGGTCGACGTTCCTTTTCTCTTTCTCTCTCTCCGTATACCGGGTGACCTATCGGATCGAGGCCGCCAGGACCGTTACACGCTCGAGCACAGCGTGGCGGCGACAACGACCGAGACAGAAATTATCTGAAGGTTTTGCTGCTCTTTCCTACTTTTATCGCGCGATTACAAGCAGCATTGTTGCCCGAAAACAATAACGACATCACTGATGTTTCTAAGAGAAAGAACGGACTTGTGCCTTTTTCCCCGGTATGCATCTTCTAACAAAACTCACGTTTAGTTAACTCACTTATTACAATATTCAAAGTATCGAGAAAAAATGTTAAGTATATTAGTAAAGTAAAACACAACAGAAATTTCAACATTTGGATCGCGTTAATATACCAAATTAATTAGCATATAAAATGTAAAAACTTTCCTTCAAAATATGAATAAAACTTATATGTAAAGAATGGATAAAATCACTTCTTTACTACAAGCAAATATTGTTAATCGTTAGGCTTGAAATGTTTTTGTGGCAAATTTGAAGAACAAAGACTATATACACCGACATGTGTGAAGAATGCAGCTGTAAGATTTTATAATGGCTTCAACAGGTGCGAGTCATTCGTCCAAAGAGAGAAAACAAGTATAATCTTCTTCTTATGAGAGAACAAATTTTGAAACTTTGCCAAACCAAATTTTTTTTATAAAAAAGATCTTTAAATTTCTTCGTATTTTAAGTAATATTCACAACAATGTGGATATAAATTAACAGCGTATTGTCATATTTGATTATTCGCTTATTGTAAGTAGCTCTTTCGGATGAAAAGATACGCTAACGACACATATTTAAAAATAAATTTACATTGTGAGCTCGTTTGTTATGTTCGTTTCACGTCACAAAGTGTTTAATGCGTTTTCGCTAAGTGCGTAGAGGCTTGCTACGCGGAAATACCGCAAATAAAATGTACGGAGACAAAGCGAGATGAAAACAACACAGAGTCGACCCATTCCTTTGCCGTAACGCCTGTTTCTTGCTGCTCTCTCGCAGTGTCGTAACTAGAAAGAAGTAACTTTTTTACACAGAGCGCGTCCCGTGCGATCAAAAACACATTCAGAAGTCGAACAATAAAAAACACGCGAGCATTTATAAATACCCGCCGGTTTCGACACCGAGTATTGCGCGCTACCTCGATAATGCTTAAAATGCAAATCATTTCGCTATCAAAAAAGCAAACTGTCTGATGACCGGCACACGTTTCCGCGATGCTTTTTTTTTTTTTTTTAATAAAATTGTTACCTCTGCCTATACTGTGTGTCTATATCGATTATAGTACAGAGTGCGTGAATCCTTAAAGTAAGTTCAAGTTTGTTTTGAGAGATAGCTATCGCCTCATTTGACATTGAGTGTGTACGTAAAACAAGGACTCAATGAAACGAGTTTTGATCCAGAAATCACAGGTACAAAGAAGCATAAAGTTATCCCGAGTAAGATGTTATTATATCCCTTTTTAGTCTCTACTCACGACAAGTGTAATGTTTAAAATATGAATACGTAAATACGTAAAATTGCTCTCAAATAAGATAACATATATAAAAATAATAATATAGTAAAATATAATAATTATTTATTTTATGTGTGCCACGTCATATTTGTGTATCATTTCGTTTTGGAACATAATTAGTAACTTATCTAAGGAACTTCATCTCTTTCACTTTTTTCACCTTTACTCAATCTTATCTCAGATTAGTTCTCCGGCCAGAAAAGAATGTTCGTACTCGGTTTTTTTCCTTCTTAGTCGCTGAGATTATTCAAAAAACATGATAAGACACGTAAAAGCGCAAAGGCGGTGTGTGACTTCATAGCGGACACAGTCGTGACGTTGACGCCATCAAGTCCTGCTCGGAATATAGCAGGTTTGCCTGGCTGTACACGCACCGACTGTTCTCTTCCTTGTGGCATAGCGCGCGCATGTGTGTGTGTGTGTGTGTGTGTGTATGTACGCGTGCACCGGGTGGTTCTTTAAAAGCCGATTCGCTTAGCTTAGCCCATTAAACCGGTCGCTTTTGTCAGCCGGAATCTCTCGGACCTGCTTGTTGCACACAGGAGCGACGACGTGAACTAGCCGGTTGCTGTGCGTGCAGTACGTACGTACTCAACATATGCGCCGGGTGTTACTTATTTACACACATTAAGTGACGGATTCATCTTCGTTTAATTGAAGGCCACCTCGATTAATCAATCATTTGGGCGGAAGACAGTACGGAGAAGGGTGATTAGCGTACGATTAATCGCGCGACATGAATATCCAAGAAATTCCATTATTATTATGCGAGAAACGCGTCGGTTTTTACACACATAAAAGAAAAGATTTATGACAGTGAATGTAATCTCGCCAGTTTTCACGCTTCGCAGACTTTGAAGACATTTAAGAAACTCGTAGTTTTAATATATTCCTGCGCATAATATTTTATTATTATTTTAATATTTTATTATTATTTTTATTATTATTTTAACATACAAACAATTCATACGCATGTAAATATGTATAAATAAATTCATGCTTATTTTATAAATTGTTGTACGCGCGCGCACACACATTTCTATGAATTTATTATTTATTCCAATTACCTAACAAATAATTACAATTTTATATAAATTTTTCTCTTGAGTTGTACAATGATATTCTGTAACTTTACACTCTTAAAGGATAAGAATGCGAGTTGGCATACACACAGGACGCGAGAAGTGGGTGTTCGTATTAGATACAGAAAAGTTATCTACGCTGCTAGTGACGTTAACCTTTTAAACGGCCAAGAAGAAACAAAGCTACGTACGTGTGACAAATAATAAAAACAACAATAACTTTAATAATAAACACGCGTTACCAGAAAGCACACGAGAACTGTTTCTTGCAAAACACAATTGTTTACGATTTTGGATTGAACCCGAAATTTTGTCACCGCGAATCGATCAAAAGCAGAAATAAAAGTCACGCGTAAAACCGAAGCGGCGGGTCTACATACGTTCAAAACACGGTAAAAGTGTTTCTGACATTTGGAGAGTCACTCACCACGTTCGAACGTTTTCGCGGTGTCCTTGAATCACTTTACCGTGCAACGTCAGAAGAAATTAAACCTCGTCGCGCGAAGCTATTTACATTATTGTTTACAATTGCGCTATTATCAACGGCCCTTTTCATTCAATCTGTAAAATAATATAATTGACAATTCACTCTTGTCACAATTCTTTTTATTCAATGCGTTAAATGATAACAATTCTCTACCTTTCAAACTTAACAAAATTATAGATACTGAAAAAAATTATAAAGCACATGCAACAAATCAAAAGTATAGTTTATAAATCAATATTAATTTCTCAAGCATTTTTCCTATTGTTACAAACAGAATCGATAATTCTGAACACAGGAACTACTTTGTTTTGGCATCACGTGACAGAGCGACATGGTGCGATCAGGAAACCTTGCGAGACCGGTCTCGATTCACGAGATTGATTCGTGATAAGTAAGTACGAGTCGGGATTTTGGTGTCTGTCTTCGCACGCGCACGCACGCGATGACACAGCGATTGGATCGCGCGAGGATGCACACACAGGATGCCCCCCCGTCGCATTTCCCTTCCTCGGGAAAAGAATCAGCGAAGAAGGAATAACGCGGCTTCGTGTTTCGCGCGACCTTTGCGCGTTTCTCTCGCAGCGTGCGCGCGCGCGCGCGCGTCCTTCTGTCGCGCCTTTGTAAAAATTCCGAAATAGAAAGTCCAAGTTTTCTCGTGCGCGCACAGTGCCTCGAAACGTATTACTCTCCTCTCTATTCACCGGGGAAACCTATGTTTACACTCAACGAGTGTATATATTTGAAAGCACACATGAGGAAATACAACACTCGTTTTTTCGGGTAAGCTTCGATGTAACGCGTAAACACGAGCGCAATAAAATATTTTCACTTACCCGATCAGCAATTAGATTATTATGCTTGCTCCAGTGTGATTGACGTTCTTTGTGCGAGCCGCCGCTTTCCCCAAAGAAAACCGTAACCCACCTGCTCCGACAGACACACGACTCACCAGTGCAAACGGGGAAAAGTACGTTTGAGAGTGAGGCGGGCCTGGCACGCGCAACGCCATCTTACAGCGCGTTCCTCCCGTCTGCCATCTTGAACTCCTGCCGTAATGGCTTCTCATGGCGGGAAAAGTCGAACCGATGATGAAAAGAAAAAAGGAAATCTAAAAAAACATAAAACATTTCAAACTAAATCAGTAAAAAGTCTTGTTTTATTTTGCAAAGTAAGTACTATTTCTTGTCAAATTTTTCAAACATTTTCAAGATATTCTACAACTGTTTAAAATACAGAAATAAAAATATAGTTATCAAAGTTGCAATTAAAATTGCGACATAAAACTATATTTATCTAAACATTGCATAAAGACTGCAAATATCTAAATATAACCAAATATACTTCAAATCTTCAACTCGTTGCGCATTGTAATTAAACGCGGTCTAATGGCGCAATATTTGCGATGTAAATACGATATTCGATCTTGCGACGAAATCGACATTTAATTCTGTAATCGCGTGACCTTAGATAACACTTCCAAGCTTCAAGGATTCTTGCGAAAAGAAAAACAGCGAACCAACCTCAACACGCTCCGCGGCCCCTCGCATCATGGCGACGGCCCTGTGCGCTCACTCTGGCGTGATTACTTACGCTCTGACATCCAACATGGCCACCTGATATGTAGCAGACGATACACACAGGTGTCATGAAGAGCTGTAAATAAAAATCCACCCTTTAGATTTAATTATGAGTGAACGTGTGCAGAAAGAAAGTGCCGATGATTCCGATCGTGTCGACGATGCAGTGGATCCAAGGGTGCAGGTAAGACATCGTTGGTCGGCTGCGACTCGCGATATTGACATTTCGTCGACAAAAAGGTCGCCGTTGTTATTTGTGCGCGAAATATATTCGCCTTGATATGCACGTGCTTGAACGCACAACGCTTGAACCGACAAAATTTTTCACGTGACGTTTGCACAGTCCCATTTTTGCAAATGTCTCTCTTATTTGTTCTCCCCCCACTTATTTTGCACATACACGAGTTATAAAACGTCTCCGATTCTTATTTCCCCTTCTCACCGACCCTGAAGTGTCTATTATCTGCGACAGCGCGTGCTAAATTACTCTCGTTGCCCGCTAACTTCGTTACAAGAAATTGGAACATGATCTTTTAACACGTGTATATATTGATAGCGAAAAAAAAATACATACGAATTGTTATTTGTTTAATTAAAAATCGTATGATGAAAAATAATTACATGTAATATATATAAATTTAACAATTATTAATTTATTTTATAATTAATATAATAGCACAACTACTACTATTCAATATAAGATTCTTTCAGATTGAACTTGAAAGATTGAACACAGCAACGGATGATATTAACAAATTAGAAGTTGACTTAGATGTAAGTACGCATTTTTTTATAATCAAAGATTATCTTATATTTAGATAAAAAAAACTTTCTTTCTACTTGCATTATGATATATGACTAATATCTAAGGAACACGATTGCTGGCAAGTTCTAAAGTTGATTGTGCGATTAGATTTTATTGAAATGATTGTGAGATGAGTATAAGATACACATATAAATGAATAATAATTTGAGAAGATGGTTTTAACAACAGAGTTCATGATAGTCTTACAGCTAAGGAATAATTTATATATATATAACTAGAGTCTATACTTAAGTTAGACAAAGACTTATACTCGATTTTTATAGTATTCACGTTTAGTCACATTTTTAACATATCTTTCTGTATGATATATTCTACTACTTCTAGGAAGCAAGAGCTACTTTTAGAGAATTACTGTGCGAATCAACAATCAAGATTGATGCTTTGGCTAAAAAACTTGGAACTTGTATTGAAAAGTCCAGACCATATTATGATGCTAGATTTAAAGCTAAAGAGGTGAGGAATCTAGTTTATCTAAGATGCGTAACTACTGCACATCCTGTGACTAAAAGTAACTCAAAAAACATAATGTACAGGCGTTACAAGAAACGCAGAAAGCTGCAATTAGATTTGAGAGAGCTAATAGTCAACATGCAGCAGCTAAAGAAATGGTCTACTTAGCAGAGGAAGGACTGCGGACCGAAGGCAGATGCTTTGATCACGCCTGGCAGGTAAAACTCATTGATGTCAGGATTTGTTTTTCAATGGAAAATGGTATGGTTCTATTGTATAGAATAAATCATATTACAGGAAATGTTAAATCATGCTACGTCGCGAGTTAACGAATCGGAGCACGAAAGAGCTCTCTCAGAAGCGGAGCACAGACATACAACTGCGATATATCACAAAGCGGAACACGAGGTTCAAAGATTACAGCGTGAATTGAAGCGTACTATTGCCAAATCTAGGTATGTACACTATAGATTCGCACTCTTCTTCTTCTGTTAATAGAGTTTAAGAATGTCCATTGTTTTTTTCCTGATTGTTCTGCATGTAAATTACTGTATAGTTCAATATGAATCACTTGTTCAAAAGCTAGAACCTTGTATTATACGACCAAATTAAATGTGTACTAAGACACACAACTACTGTTGTTTTTTTACACTTTATTATTTTCACATTGCCGTTAATTATTACCTATAATTGTTTTCTTCTAATAAATAACTGTCGGAGTTATTGTCAAATTAGTTTTACGTTATGTTGTTTTCTATAGACTTCATATAGTATTTATGTTTTGGTTATATGTTCATGTTGGCAGTATGGGTGCACGCCGCAGCTTGCTTCTGATAAACAGTATCGCCTACAGGCACAACTTGCTCATGTTGTAAGTAGAATAGATATTCTGTTTTATTTTTTTGTTCACATAATATACGTAATATGTTTATTCTGTATGTGCTATATTGTGAAATAGATCTTTATTTTTAAAAATTTTTATATTATCTTGATTGAAGCATGAAGACGTTTTTGGTATTTTAAAACAACTTGCTGTCTTTTTGATTGAGCTTGTTGCAATAAGTAGTATAATTTGCACACAGATTTTGTTTCTGACCAAATTGTCTTCCAAATCATTGTGCAATAAATGAGTTGAGTTATCTCGTACATGAAGTAGAATATATTATATATTAAAATATAATATCGCGAATAATAATTACAAATGTGTGTGTATATGAATTTTCATTTCATATTTAAAAATATTTGTATAATCAACACGCAGGCCTTACTATGAAATGAAAGCACACTTTAATCAAATGTTAGAAGAACAGAAGATGAAGGTTAGTACGTTGGAAAGATCGGTCAGCGAAGCAAAGACTTCGTATGCGGAAGCGTTACGAAATCTGGAGAAGATCAGTGACGAGATTCACAGGGTACAAACATACACGTATTAGTATTAATAACGTAATGTAAGTTATAAGTAAAAATTTAATTGTATTTCCACATTTCTGGTCCTAATAGACCAGAAAGTACGATGGTACGGATAATTACGACAAGCGCACGCGAGATGCGCCCGATTGCTCCACCGCAGAGACTAACACGGCGACTCCGACGGATTCAAGCGTGACTGGGTCCCCGGACAGCACGGATTACACTAGTGACGAATATCTACGCCTTCCTGAGAAACTGAGTCCGAGCGTCCCATGTCCTATGCCTACAAGAGTAAGTACACATTTCTAGTAAATGTTTTCGCTTACTGACTGAGAAATGTTTTCTGCAGATTGATAGAGATTCATCGTCGGAATATTTGGGCCTAAACAACCTGAACCTATCCACCGAACCTCGTAAATACATAAAACGAGATCGTCCACGGAGCATTGCGGCGATCGACTCGAAACATATCGTATCTCTAAATCACACGAGCTCCTCTGCGCCGGGTCTAGCGGATCTGTCAGGGATCATCTCTCCGATCGAGAAGAAGGTGAAAATTCAGACGCCTGTGAGCGAGAACAAGAATAACAACGCTACGACGACTCAAAACGGAGAAGAATGGACAGAAATTAGTTTGAATAATTCGCCAGACGAAATTTATTATAACAATGACGTGTATTCTGACGAAGATGATCAGATTCCTTACAAGCCGCTACCGACGGACTTGAGTCCGGAGGCCGCTCAAACGATCGGCGCGACTATCGAGCTGTCGCGGAAGAGATTAGTGGCCCAAAAGTCTTTACCCGCAATGTCAAAAGTAAACGAAGTTAGTTTAAGTGAGGAGAAGAAGGCTGAGGTTACAAGAAGCCCGTCAGTAAAAAGTAGAGGCAAGCTCGACGGTAGCTTAGCTAACTGGATAACAAGAAGTTCAGTCGCCGGCGAGACCAGTGTTGGCAGTTCTAGTAAGCGTATATACACTTTCACGAAAAACTGTGTATATCTTTTGAATAGTATGGATAATATAAACGTGTTATCTTTCAGCGAATTCAAGCAGAAGACAATCTCTCGACATGTTGTGGAGCGGCGGTACGGGAGAACGCGTCAAGGAATTACTTAATCACGGTATGATGATGCTAAACATATCTAGCCTGACGGAACGACGTTCCAGCGAACCAAAGACAGCGGAGAGAGACAAGGACAAGTCTGAAAAGTCTGAGAAATTGGAGGTCAAAGGCAAAAAAGTTCCTAGCCCGTTGGAGAAAACAATGACCTATCTTAACGCCGACGAGGAGACGTCAGACAGCGAAAGTTTAGCCAGGTAAGGTTTCTCACTCATATTTTTTGTTTATTTTGTCGATTTGCTTTTTATTAACGAACTTGTGATCACAGCGTGGAGATGTTGACGGAAGATCAGATTACTTCGCTCATGATGGAGCCAGACATGAACCAAGTATGCCAAGAGATTCTGGGAACTCCTTTGGTCGAGGTGTGTCCGCTGCTACAGCAATTGCAGCAGCAGCAACAATAGCAGCCTTATCGCAAAGGAACTTGCGCGACCGTGTGGCGAAGATTCAACAATAGAAAGTGTGTTCAAGATTCTTACAAAATGGTAATATAATTAAGGCACTTTTAACATTTCGGTTAGTACAAGGCGCATTATACATTGCGTTTATATCTGTGGTTGTATAATTTTATAAATTTTTTTTATCAAATATGTGATATAGGACAAAGCTGCAGAGAGATAGTATTTTTTGGGACAATTGTTAATAGATCGGTTTTAAAAATTGGTTGTACAAGTATTTATCATGGGTTTTTTTTATATATACATACTTGACAGATTAATATAATTAATATTTATATATTTGGACGATAGTAATATATTAATTGGTTGTGTGGCTTTATAGTCAATTTCGAACTTACACTAAAAGTGTCTTGTTAGCTCTTTGGATATTAAGAAGCCTAACAACGTCTTTTGTGAATTTACCTACGCTTACCAGGGATCGTTGCTTGGAGAACATTTCGAACTTATTCTATAACAATCTTTCTAATATTTAGCTCTGTAAAGTTATCATTCGGCTGAACAAGCAATATGTAGTATAATTCTTCTCTTAGAAGATTTTGTAGGTCAGTCTAGATGCTCACACAAATTTATTCCGAGTCGCATCAAGTATTTTTTGCTTGTCTTTACACGTTTATCACATTGAAGCTTCTCAGAACGTCTTAACGGATAAAACTATCACTTTGTCACACAGAGAAAGATATCAAATTTTTGCTAAATTATATGTGATAAACCGGCCGATATTAAATTGCGTTCAGCGTGAGATATTTGAATGTAACTGGTTACGATAAAACACTTCCTCTCTCTCTATCTCTCTCTCCCCCTCTCTCTCGCGCGCGAGCGCCACAATTGTGATTGTTCGGTCTTAAGATCACGCAAAGCGTGAAGCGTACAACAGAAAATCCTATAGAAAGTTACAAGATGCCAATTACGACTTCAACAGAGTCGGATGATCTAAAACGCGAATTGTATGAACTGTACATATAAGCGTAGCGTTATACAATTCTAAACGTACACATAAATCTGTGTGTGCAAAACGTACTGTTAACGACTGAATGTGACGTTGACGTCAAAACTGCTTTGCAAATTGTTTTGAATTTCCTTATTTTGTCAAACAAAAAAAAAAAAACAAAAAAACAAAAAAAACACGAAGGCAGACTTTACAAACATACCGATTGATGACAGAATGTTTTGAATACAGACCGAGAGTTTCGCATCTTCGATGGTAATCATGTTATCTCATTGTACGAAGCTTTACAATATTATATAGTGAGAAAATAGTGTTTTACCCGCCAAGTTTAGCAAAAATATTTTTCAATACTTTTTTGCTCCGACGCGGATTAGAGACGGTGTGTGATTAACTAAGTACCTCATGGATGTCGATCGTGTGTGCGATAAAAGAAGTGAGGAGTGTAGAGAAATTTATCATAAGCAGGATAATCTGAACAGTCCAATGATCAATCGTGATAATAGTAGGGAAGTCAGAGGCGAGAATATGTACTCAAACGACTTCAAGCACTCGGGACAAAGTAAACACAGTTAAGTACTAGCTCTATCACTTTTATTGCAATGTATTGTGATATAGCTCTTAGTTCTTAGATTTTAGACTATTCAGTTGGATTGTCCAATTGTTGAATAAAACCAGATAGTAATGCGAAAGATGTATGCAATACGCTATTTATAAAAAGTAATATATATATAATATAATATATGTATAAAAATTATAATTTCTATTTATCACAAAATTATATAAGTAATGTATGTCAAGAAATCTTATTTATTTTCAACATAATTTTCTGTATGTCTCGATGATCAATTTATGTTTTTTTACACATCGTTTATCAATTATTAGAAGAATGGTGGCAGTTTCTTAATACAGATTATTTTTTAACGATTCAAAATATTATATCAAAATATCGAAAAAAAATTGTCTATGTTACGTTAAGTGTGGAATAAAGATTGATCAGAAATGCGACATAAATATTAGCTTTAGAATCATGTGAAACGACTATGTGTATACAGAATTCATTATTTTTTTGTCATCCTTCTGTAATACAATCTACCATAAGATGTTTTTTTTCGTACTCTGTATTCGACGAAAAATGTGAGACACGAGCACGGATCTGAAGTATTTAAAAAAAAAAAAACGCGACAAGGCATGTAATTTGTTGGTTTTAATTATATTACTGCTCAAGAACACTGTAAAACAAAAAAAAAGAAAGAAACTAAAACACGACGATATTCTGTCGAAACGATCGGACTTTGTAAATTTTTAATGAATTATTTTTCATGAACCACATTCGGTCGCATTCTTATATTAGATTTGTTCTTTTCCTCTAAAGCTTAGAAATGTTGGAAAAACAAGGGTAAACCTTCTCGAGCCAATTCTAGCTGCGCTAGCGTAATGCAGAGAAAAAGAACAGATTCTCAAGTACCATCTCTCTGTGCGCGAATCTCACTTTCTGCTGCAGCAAAACTTCCATTTGCAATTAATGACAAAACCGTGCGTACTATTGGAGCGTGAAAAATTATTCGAAATTTTACACATAATCATAGCGTTTATCACGTTACTCCCGTGGTGTGCGTTTAAGAAATATTTTTTCGTCTTGTGTGTATGTCGGGTATAGTAACGATGATTATAGATAGAGCGAGAGCATAACAATATACATATATAGCGATAACAAAATTATTGTACATACTTAATATTGTGTAAATGTGAATGTATCTATGTATATATCATTATATATCCTCACATACGCATTAAACTATAAAACATTACAAAAGTGTACGTTTCATGTAACGGCAAAATACGAACACATGCAAAATTGAAATTTTATGTCTCGAGAAGAAAGACCCAAATCACTTCAAATACGTACGATTCTCTCAACCTTATCGCCGTCGTGCTTCCGTAAAATTAAATAAATACTAACACAGGTTTTCGGAATATTATTATATGTATACAAGTCTTGACTCACCTTGTTGATTCAAATTCAAACTCTCCAACCATTGAAAGTAGCGAGTGAGACGCCCAGAAAGAAAAATTCATCGAGAGAATACTATTGACACTAGAATACATCATCACAAAATATCGCAAATATACGCGTCAATCAAACCGCAAAGTTCTTTAGATACGTTTGTTCGAGAAATAAAACAAAATCGCGACTCGCGAACGACGCAAACAACAACGAGCACAGATTCAAACGTTCTTTTTACCGGACGTATGAATAGATAGTTGCTATAATGTCCGCAAGCGGCGTTGCAATTGCGGCGCGACGAACTGACGGCGAAGTTAGGCGAGCGCTGATCGCGAAACGAAAATGGCGTCGCGTGCACGGTTCCGATGATCTCGTTTCGTCTTGTTTGCGTTCGGTAGTTTATAATTTACGGCGTGTGGCGGTACGACAACGACAGACACTGGTGACGACGCTAATCCACGCGCCCGATATATAATAATCGCGACTCGGGAGTCACTCGCACACGGAAAGAACGATTTTCTTGTGGCAGTCGCGCCGCACGTACGGACGTTACGAGACGAGC